GAATTTCAATGAATGTCAATGGACGGCATGAGTTGCAAACAAATGGTCATATTGTGAAAATTATCAGGACTATGGTTTAGCCATGGACATTTTTAGTGGCAGCAGGGATAGCTGAACGTTTTGATATAAGATTTGTGTAGGTGGGCTTGAAAATGAGGGAGTGGTGGCAGTTTAGAAATCATGTCCTGATTTTTCAGCTTTTGCCAGTTCCCACTCTAGTTTTGAACATTTTGCCATTCATTCCTATGAGACCAATTTCACCACAAGAACGACGATATTCAGTGAACCATTCGGTGAAACGTTCCACAAAGTAATAGCAATCCAATCGGGAACAATCCGCACGTTTCGGTATATCACAGTCTATGTAGTGTAAAAACTATAGGAGAAGTTAGGGTGGTAAATTTGGTTATAATAAGAATAATAATAACTAGAAAAGCTACAATTTCTGGGGAAATTGTGTGAAGTGTTCTTGCCTCCACCAGTAGTCTACAACTAGAGTGGGCGGAGTAACTGTTATTATTTATTTATATAGCACATTTAATTGCAATGTTGTTGCCCAAAGTGCTTCACAGTTACATTAAAACATACATTTATAAAAACATTAGCAGGTGTACAAAAGGCCCTGCCTATGACATCACTTGCTGCTCCAGTCTGGCACAGGTCAGAGTATTTTGGTGGTTGCCATCTTCAAACAGTCGTATTCAGCTTTTGCCAGCTCCCACTCTAGTTTTTAAAATTTTGCCATTCATTCCTATGGGACCAATTTCACCACAAGAACGACGATATTCCGTGAACCATTCGGCGAAACGTTCCACAAAGTAATAGCAATCCGATCGGAAACAATACGCACCTTTCGGTATATTACTGTCTATGTAGTGTAAAAACTGTGGGAGGAGTTAGGGTGGTAAATTTGGCTATAATAAGAATAAGAATAATATATATGTGAGATAACATTAAATGGTCTTGCTATACAAGAACACTTAATAAATAAATATTACTGGAGCGCTAAATATACTGAAGCTCTATAGGGGCAAAAATTAGAGCTTCTATAGGATTAATAAATATATTATTACAAGTAATTTATCAATTGCATCTACCACACTTCAAAGTGTTCCCTTCACCAAATACAAGATATCAAATACAATATTAAGAAGTGGAGCGATATGAAGTTGATAAACCCCTTTCACCATATAACAAAAATAAAACAGGGAGAAAGAGTATACTTATATTTTTCGCTGGATGATACTCAAAGTCATATATAGCATGTAGAAAAAGAAAAAATCAAGATCATAGTACAAATCTGCATGGACTATTTGTATTCTTTCAATAGTACTTGTCACATATATATACACTTAATCAGCTGGATATAAAAGTAACAATTTATTTGTATACAATATATTATGTCTAAAATCAAAATAATTAATAAATAAAAATAATCAATAAAATACAGCTAAAACAGCAGTGTGAACAAATTACTGCTTACTAGAAACGATGGTGAGTGAAACGATTTATGTTCCCGTTACTCACAAGACTGTCCCACATTGGGAGATGTCTCCTGTGCAGAGAGTTCGGCAGGATTCTTATTGGCAAGTTCCGGTGTTCTATCAGTCTGGTATACTCCGTCAGATTGCTATACCCACGTCACTTCCGGGGAGGGGAATCAGCTGTCTCCTGTGCTGCACATGCGTGCTAGCACTCCTGCTACTCCTCCACAGCAAGGTCCTGGAAGGTAAGTAAAACTAGTTTTACACTTTCATTATAGTTAGTGCATTCACTAAGCTTAGGCACACGGGAAATTTAGGGTTAGTGAGGGTACAAATTAGGGTTAGGTAAGTGCTTCTAACCTCTCTCACACTCTATTCTTACCCTAACCCTTGGGGTAAGGGTTAAAATAAAGTGTGAGAAATCACTATTTAGTGATATTCCCCTAATGTGAAATATCACTAAATAGGAACAAGTCCCTAATCCTAACCCTAATTTGAACCCTAACATTAACCCTAAATGTCCCATGTCCTAAGCTTAGTGAATGCACTAACTATAATGAAAGTGTAAAACTAGTTTTACTTACCTTCCAGGACCTTGCTGTGGAGGAGTAGCAGGAGTGCTAGCACGCATGTGCAGCACAGGAGACAGCTGATTCCCCTCCCCGGAAGTGACGTGGGTATAGCAATCTGACGGGGTATACCAAACTGATAGAACACCGGGTCGGCAGATGAACATTCAGTAGTTGCCTTTCCGTAATCCCAGCTTGTGATCAGGCTCCGCCTCCTCCTTTACGTACTCACGCTTCTGTCTACACGTTTCGCCGTTCTCGGACGGCTTCGTCAGGACGTGGTGTGCTGGAGTCCATTC